ATATTTTATATATATATATATATATATATATATATATATATATATATATATATATATATATATATATATAAATGCGATCTCCCAGATAAGCACAAAGTACTAAAAGGTGTCTTAAAATCGTCCAAAAGAAATAAGATAACGTATGTTGTAACACATAATTATAACATACGATCTATGTTAATAGTCGTTATTTGAAATTTGTTCCTCACGTGAGATATTTAACTCTGAATTTAGTGTTAGATTTTTGAGTTTTTTATTTGAATCATATGATATATGTAACATTATATTTGTAACCGTGATTTAGCTGAAGTACTCGACTCTAAGGTCCATATTAATAGTCATTACTTAAAACTTGTCCTACATGTGTGAGATACTCAGATATGAATTTAGAGTTAGATTTAAGTTTTTTTTACTTGAATCATATAATATATGCGACATTACATTTGCAATCATGATTCAGCTGAAAGATCCATATTTACCTTTAAATTTAAATCTGAATATCTCATCTCTAAGGCAAGTTTCAAGTAATAACTATCCAGCAAACACCAAATAATATATAACTATTAGTTATAATTTCCCACTCAACAATGTAACTGTTGTATGACATACGCGTTATATTGCATTTACATTGTTAAGTGAGAAATTATAACTACCAATTATGTGACTGTTATTTGTTGTTTGATGGATATTAATACGGATCTAATGCCAAATAGTCTCAAGTAAATAATTATTACTTGAAAGTCATAAATGAGATATTCAGATTTGAATTTAGTTAAGTGAGAGTTTTTCAGTTGAATCGTGATTACAGATATAAATATCACATGTATCATAATTTAACTGAGAAACTTTGATGTAACTGAATATAAATTTAGGTATCTTACATGAAACAAGTTTCAGACAACATCTATTAATACAAGCCTAAGATCCATATTAATAGTCCTTACTTAGAATTTGTCCCACATGAAATATTCAAATCCAAATCTCAAGTTGTATCAGAGTCACATCAAAGTTAATGGGCAATTGATACGTCGAAGCGTGAGCAAGTCGCAAGTAAGCGAAGACTGCGATTGAACGTTGAGCGGATCGATATATCCAGCGTTCGCAACACGCGATGAGTAAAAAGTTCTGCTGAAATCGCGTTGTTACCGCAATTTCAATTTTCTCGTTTGTTCGGCGATTAAGGTAAAATTACTAATACACGGACATGTACTTAATTCTAGATATTCTTATTGTTTTGTTTTTTTTTAAATATAGATATTTAAACATCTAATATAAAATATATATACAAATAGTGAGTATATATACTTACATTCGATGTTGAAAGTTTAAATATTTTAAAGGCCAAAACAATAAGAATGTTCAGGATTAAATATATGTCCGGGAATTGGTATTTTTACCTTACTGTGTGACGCTGGTATCGTTGCTTTTCGACGATCGGCAATCTTAGCGTGATGACCCGTCATTCTCCCGTCGCGAGATGCCTGTCATTCTTGATAATTGAAATTCAAGGATCATTCCTTAGACCAGCATCGTCCAGAAGTTTTGCAACAACGATTTCGCCCGACAGTACGTCCCCACCGCGGGCATCGATTTCTTCCTCAAAAACTTGAGCATCGGCTGCTACAAGAATGTCAATCTGCATCTGTGGGACGTTGGCGGGCTCGCCCTGCACGGCAACATGCTGGACAAATATGTCTTCGGCGCCCATGTAAGGACGATAAAATCAATTCTATCTCTCGCGTACACCTCGTATCTTATCAGTTGGGAAGCGCGTTTTTAACGAACAAATAGAACGATTTGATGAGTGCCATTAGATCAATCGATTACTTCGTAATCTTGTCTTTCTATAAGTATAACGACTGATAGTGTTAATATATAGATAACTGACGTAAAAGTTATGTAAAATATAGTAATAATACATTGATGAGAAATATTATATTTCCACAATTGAGAGAGAAAACAATTATATTATGTGCATATCCCCAGTAAACACTAACAATAACGTAGAAAAATATACACTGCATTCAAGTAAATGTTATTTTTTTCAAGTATATTTTATATATATTAATTTACCCAGCAGCGTGCGCGCAAAAAAAATGATTATATGTGATTATATATATAATTATATGTATAAATTATATGTCTTTTGTTTATATATAATCACATGAATTTTATATATGAACAAGTATCATATATAAACAACATATAATCATATATGGCTATACGAACAAAAAATTATGTTAAATGAAAAAGGAAAGAAATAGTTCCATTCAATTTTAGTTACATTACATAATAAACGTCGGCATCATGTGCTGCCAGAAGCTATAAGCATTTACTTCAATTATAATTTGTATTTTTTTCGTTGTAGATTATGATTACGTGCATGATTATATATGGCCATATAAGGGCAAAATTTACACATATAATGGGCATATAAAGACAAAATTTATATTTTTTTTCGGATATATATATCTACTAATCTGATCATAAGTCTATCTTGAAGATCAAATTTATTTAAAATACATTATGAATCTTAATAATTCAATATTTTAATCAAGCATATTAAATTAAAAGAAAAATTCGGTTTTTTTACTACACAGAGTCGTATCAACATTTTTCTTCGATAAAGTTTTATTCTTGTAAAAAGAATAAATTTTTCTTTTGAATACATAATGAGTTTTCCTAAAATTTGTGATGAATATATTTTAAGACTATTATCAAAAAAATATTCTTTGTTCAGAATAACTATTATAATTATAAGGCGGAAAGTAATCTGAGCAATTGGTTTTCTTAGTAGCAAAATATTTATTATAATTTCCCACTCAACAATATAAATGTAATATAACACTTGTAGTACATAACAGTTATATTATTGAATGAGGAATTATAACATTGATGCGATGTTACTGTTACTTGGAGTTTTGATATTTCTATAATCGACGAATATTTTTAAATATTCTTCTTTTCCTTCACACACATATATATATTTCCAAGCCGTTCAAACGCAAAGTAAAGACATAATCGTGAATATATAGAAATAAATAAGAGAAGAGAAGATAAATAATATAAAGAGTAAATTTTAGCGGAATTAATAATGCGATTCTGTAACTCGTTATTGCAGTTAACGACAGTCTCGTTATCATTGCGCAGATTTTCTACGATACGAAAAAGCTGCGCAACGATAACGAGACTGTCGTTAACTAATAACTAATTACAGCAATAACTAATTACAGAATCGCACCATAAGTGACTATAAGAATTTCCTATTAAAAAGAAAAAAATTTGTTTAATAAATTTTTACAATTTACTAATGCGCAATTGCATTTTCTCTTCGAATCAGATTATTCTTTTGGTGTACGACGTCACCAACAGCTCAAGCTTCGAGATCTTGGAGGAGTGGCTCAGCCAGATTAGGAATTTCATCGACACTTATGACGAGCCGCCTCTAATGGCGGTGGTGGGTAACAAGTGTGATATGGAGCACCAAAGAACGGTCAAACGCGATAGATCGCATCGATTCGCCGCGGAGAATGGGTTCCCGTACCACGATATGTCCGCGAGAACCGGAGAATCGGTAATCTCTTCTTCCTTCTTTAGAAAACTTGCAACCATCCACACAACATAAATGTCTAAAATATATCTTAGAGCCAACTTGAAGACGTCTAAAATAAGTAAGATGTCATACAAACGTCTTTAAGATATCTTTTAGACATATATGTTGTATATATGTTATATATATACAGGGTGTTCAAAAAGTCCCGGACCGGTGAAATATCTCGAAAACTAAGCATTTTAGAAAAAAATGTTTCAGATAAAAGTTGTGGCGTTTAAAAAGATGTATTTACTGATCACATCAGTTTGAC